GGAAAGCAGTCGAGTATGGCCCTACACCCATGTGGGAGACCTGGAGGAAGTTCCTGGTTCCTGGCTTCAGATTGATGCAGCACTGGCCATTGTGGTGACTTGGGTAGTGAATCATTGGACGGATGATCTTCCTCTCTGTCTCTCCTCCTCTTTGTATATCTGATTTTCCAATAAAAATAAATAAATCTAAAACAAAAATAGCTCACAGATGGTTGATGCCAGAGACAAAGGTCAGTCTGTGGGCAAATGACTCAGACCAACGTCAAGGCCTGCAGGTGATGGTCTGCAACTGGGACATGGTCCAAGGCCACAGACTGTGTGCTTTCAGATATCCTTGAGCCCCAGCATGGTGACCTAGTTGCTAAATTCTTGCCTTGCAACCACCAGGATCTCATATGGCTGCCAGTTCATAGATGCTCCTGGCTTTGGATTGGCTCATCTCCGGCTATGCAGCCACCTACAGAGTGAAGCAGTGGATGGAAGATCTCTCTCCTTCTCTCTATAAACCTACATTTCCGATAAAGAAATTTTTTAAAGATATCCTTGAGATAGCCATACACTGACTCCTGTACTTGGGTCACACTATTGCTTTCTAATCATCAAGCACAAGCTGGTTAACATCAATATGTGACATGGTTATCAACATTTGTGCCACATCAACTGCTGTAACTTGGTTCCACAATCAGTTTAATAAAAGATTGAGGCAGTGAGCCTTGTAGGTCGACTTCCTCAGAGAAGAGGGCTTGGACATTTTCATAGTCTTTATCTTGTGTCTGTCTCATTTCTTATTTTCTCAGTTGCATGTCTGGTCATGCTGCATTGGTCGTGGTACCTAGGAGAATGTTTCCAAAGGAGATTCCCATGTGAGCATTGAGTGGATCAAGGGGGAAGACTTAGCCCTGAGGTACATGGCACCATCAACTGGCTGAGCCTCTGGAGAGACTAAATACTGAAGGCAAATTGACCTCTTGTGCAGAGAGCTTAGAAATGCTCAACTCTTATCATGTGTGCCAGCTGCCAGTCTTGCGGGATTTACACCAGTACCCACTGGCTGCCACTCAGCCTCAGCTTCCCTAGTTCCGAGGCGCTAAGCCATGAACTGAGCCATATCAGAGCCTGGAAGATGACCTGTCATCAGTTTTCACTCCGGGTAAGGTGAGCCAATTACCATCACCAATCATCCTTCACACACCTAATTACTTACTCTGTGGATTGTTTCTCTGAGAACCTAACATATTCCATGTAAACCTGTGCTGTATTTCAAGCAATCCCAATTCATAGTGATGCAGAACTGGAAACCACAGCCCAAGCGTCGAGCCAGGGGGCAGTTTCACAGCCTAGGGTAGGGTCCACATTAGGCTCAGAGGCTCACAAAATATAACAGAAATGTCACATAATCGTGATGAGGAAGGAGTCCTATGGCACCAAAATCATTTAGTCAGGAAGTGAGTGTAAATCTCTCTCAGAGAGGAACTGTGCTATGTGGGAGAGAGGTAGCGGTGAGCCGTATTAGGAAAGTACTGCAAATGCAGGAGTTAGGCCAGTGCCTGACTCCACCTCAATGATTATTTCCTCAGGTGAGCACCCAAGGGAGTCCAGCCTCACACTTTTCAGAACCCAACCTTTTCTTTGTCCTTTCTGTTTCCTTGGTAGTACTAGAATCTGGATCACTTGTAACTCAGCTAACTAGGAATTCCATGCTCTCTGCTTGATTTCTACCTTCTCATAATCAATATTCCCTATCATACATAGATTTACCTTTAGTATCGCCAATGAACTTGGATAAAATATCACCAATAAAGGATATAAGAACCACTAATTTTCAAAGTATGTGAACTGACACTTCCCAAAGCTAGGGAAAAAATAGTTTTGAATCTTAAATACTCTTGACTATGGTCCATTTTGTACTTTAGCATTACTGGTGGCTATTTTTGGGAGGGGCAAGAGGAGGACAGGAGCCAACAATCAAGCTGGGGAAGAGAACACTCCACAGGCACAGACCAGGCAGGTGCACAGATGACAGGCTTTTTGTGGAAACCGCGTGGCTGGAAGGTTTGGGGCATTTCCCCCGCATTAGCCAGCCTCTAGACCTGCACTGGATTCCACTCTGAGTCACATCTGATGACAATGTAAAGTCCGCATATGTTTCAGACTTCTGCAGTGGGGCACGTTTTTGAGACAGCCTGGCTTTGCAGGCTGAAGCAGCAAACGCCCAGATATTTGGGGCCTGGTACAATGGTTCAATTGGCTAATTCTCTACCTTCAAGCACCAGGATCCCATCTGGGTGCCGGCTTGAGTCCCGGATATTCCACTTCCCATCCATATCCTTATTTATGGCCTTGGAAAGCAGTATAGAACAGTACAAAGCCTTAAAACCCTGCTCCCGGGGGCGGGGGGAACCCCAGAGTGGAGCAGGCAGACAGGAGGAGGCTTGTATCCCAACCCTGAAGACTCCTAGATCCTCACCAAGGACTATCAGTACGAGCTCTGAGGACTACATCCCAACTGCCAAGGAGACCACGGGGAATTGGAGTGCCTTCGGAGGCCGAGAACTCTGAGGTCACCCACCTCCATTTGGATCTCCCATATGGGATGGAAGAAGCCCATATCCTGCTTTGCAGGATCCAAGGTCATTGGAACGACAACCAGGAGCACTGAGCGGTCTGCAGAAACAAAACAGTAAACTTCCTTTGGGACTAGGGAGAGGAGCTTTCTCTGGTTCTTGCCTGGTGCCGACTTTGAGTCCCCACCCTCTCTCGTAATGACCATCAGGATCGCTCCAGAAACCCCCCAAAACAAACTAACAAATAAACAAATAAATAACAACAAAAAACTAGAATAGATAGAGAACAGCAAGGAAAGCTTAGAAACAGGAAACGGGCAGTGGGGATGCACTTATAACTCACTGGATGGGACACAAAGATTAGTTACTCCTCACTAGGGTATTTAAGATTTCTCTGCACACGCCTCCTAAAACTGTTCACCTAAACTGTTGACATATGTCTTGTTAGAGTTATAGAGTTAGAGTTAGACTATCCAAAAAACAGCCAGGTTCTGCAAAATCATGCTTCAACGCTATAAACTGCTAAATACTAAAATTAAAATAGACATGAGACAGCTGAATAGTAATCTATAGCCATTTTAAGGTGTATAGAACCCAGTTGTATATAAACTAATAATTGAAATGTCAATGTAGAAGTCACAGGATGTGGTTCAGAACTTGCACTCTTTTTTTTTTTCTCTCTCTTTTAATATGCTGGTTATATAATACCATGTCAACTAATTCCATTATGTTATAAATTGTTACTGATGTCATGTTAATTGATTGGCATGATACTCTGTTGGCTCTACCTTCAGACCAGAGACGGTCTCCCCAAGAAACTGTTGAACTTATCTGAACAATAAGATGCAGGACTCTATGCTTTGCAGATGCTTGCAAGGAAAGAACCTCAACTGAATTTGAACTGTGGTAATACAACAAGGTGGAAGAATCCACCATGGGGGGGGGGGGCGGGTTTTGGGGAGGGGATGAGGGAATCCCAGTGCCTATAAAACTGTGTCACATAATGTAATGTAATAATAATAATTAAAAAAAAAAAAACCTGCTCCCACATGGGAGACCTAGAGGAAACTCCTGGCTCTTGGCTTTGAATTGGCTCAGCTCTGGCCATTTGGGGAGTGAACCAGCGGATGGAAGATCTTTCTGTCTTTCCTTCTCTCTGTAAAATCTGCCTTTACAATAAAAATAAATCTTTAAAACAATTAAAATAAGCCCAGGTAGTTAAAACTCATCAAAAAATGGTATCTCCTGAATCTTTTTAGGCACACATCTTTTCTAAAACAACTTCCATATTTGCAGACTCACTATTCTCCCAGCCAGCAGCCCTGTCACTGGACTGACTCCTGTTGATGACTCTTGCAGGAGCTCACTAGAGAACAGCTTAGCCTTTTTCTGTCTTTTTTCAGTCTGCTGAACCTATGAACCAATTCTCAGAATATTTTTCAATGCATAATATATAATACATAGGATTACAAAGGAAACAAATTGTATTAAAATCTAGTTTTTTGCTCCAGACATCTGGAATATATGAGCTCCTTGAGTGCAGGGATTGCAACTTCATTTCTGTATGGCCAGTGTTGAATGCAGAGCCTGGCACACAGATGATACTCAGAAATACTTATTTAATGATGGAACAGAAAAAAAAATCACTTTCAAGTTAGTCTATAGAATGATCCATTGCAAATGTATAAGCACATACCAATGCCTTGTCTGTGTCTCATCCATCTGAAACCAAGTAGACCAGGGCTGTAAGGGAACCTACACTCAAGCACAGGTGCCACGGCAACAACAGCACACTATTGTCAGCCCAGGAAGATGACAAAAACTCCTGTAGTGTCTTACCGGCTGGAAAATTCAGAAAGTAAAAGTCAACAGGCTCAGTCTTGAGATCTCTTAGCTTCAGAAACATCATGGTTAGACCACTTTAAAATATTCTATTATTAGCTGCTCTGAGGGAGTGAGAACAGGAATCCAAGTCAGCACAGGAGTGATCTGTAGGGACCCTCTTACCTCTGGCATAAAGAACGGTGCCCCTAAAAAACACCTGAGAAATGAGATGTGCCTTTCTAGGTTTAAGTAATAATTTGCCTTAGAAATTTTTTTCCCCTAGGGGCTGATGCTGCATTGTAGCCATTAAAGCTGTTGCCTGTGCACCTGGGAAAGTAGTGGGACCCTGTGCCCACAGGGGACACCCAGAAGCTCCTGGCTCCCAGCTTTAGATCGGCTCAGTTTCAGCCATTTCAGCCTTCTGGAAATTGAACTACCTCTCTCTCTTTCTCTCTAACTGTGCCTCTCAAATAAAAAGTCAATCTTAAGCCACTTCTATCACGAAAGATATGTAAAGGGCCAAAGGTTCATTTTAAACAGGCTGATAAATCCATTACACATCTGGAAAAGAAAAGTAAAACAGCAATTTTAAAGCTAAAACCCACAAGTATATAAGGTTCAGAAATTTTACTTCTTAAGACTTTTAACAGCAGTCCCAGATTGGAGGACTTCTGTGGCTACATGGCAGAATGCAATTTCCAATTATTTCGACAGGGTTTCCAACATCTGCTACCAACAAACATGGCTTCAGGTGAGTGTCCTCTTTAAAAACGAAAGAAAGAAAGAAAGAAACCAGTTCAAAGTTTTTCCTTTAATTAAAAAACAAAAACCCTCCCACTTCTAAAGTGTGTGCTTTCTTTTATGACCTATTTTTCCTTTAAATCATTTGCAGTTTCCCTATACTCTTCCTAAAGCGGTAAACAATACAACCAAAGAAATAAAAATCCGGTCCACTCTTGCCCCAATGTTGAAAAGGGTCAAGAGAGAAGGAATCACAGCATGGAAAATGGCCCAACTCTAAATATACAAACAACATTAAAAAGAAAACAAAATAAGAAAAGCCCCCCAAGGACATTATTATTGACATTCCTGGGATGCTTCCTATAGTATAATGCTGCGGATAATGCTTCTTTCCCAGGGAGTCCAGCTCGCTCAGGAGGAGACAGCTAGCGGGTGCCTCAGCAAAGGCTGGGAGTGTTGAGGCCTCCCTGCCAAGCCTACGTTTTTTATGAGCTCTACATCTCATAGAAACATCTGCGGTACAAATGACTCTAAAAGGGGAAGGCAGCAGGCGGGCACCTGTCACTGTTCTCCGAACCAGCCAAAAAGCTGAAGAGTGTGGGATCCAGGAGACAGATGCTGTTAGGAGTCCAAGGACGGTGGGGAGAATGAGAGGAAGCACCAAATGAGTGGCTGCTTTTGGTTCCAAAGCCAAAGAATCATCACCATAAAGGCCCCAGCAAACATGGCAGCTGATCTGCATACGAAGTCTGCTCCTAGCCTTGGATTTGCAACCCCGGCAGTCTCAGTCCCAGTCCAAGAGCCAGAGCCAGCTGCACCACATCACAGCTGGCCAGTGACTGTACTGATGCTAGTTCAGGATGATAAGTGCTTTAACAAAGTGAGGGGCAAGGTGGCTATCACCATGAAGACCAAAGTACAGCCGTGGCATCCCTCGGTGGCTGTTTCTGCACAGCCACAGGCCAACGCCTCACTTGATCTCTGGAGATGGGCCCTTCCACTCCTCACTGGCATCCTCTCAAAATCACAGCCCTGATATCCTCAGAGACCTCAAGGACACCAGTTGCACCTCTGGGAGAAAGAAACCATCCTTGCCCCATCTTCATCAAAGCACTTCCACTTTTAAGCGGCTGCTGGCACGCCACCTTCCCCTCCATGCAGAGTTCCACTTCCTTTTGCTTTCAGAGTTCTGCACTGGCCTTTGGGCCCCTTCCAGGATACAAAATAAAAGTGCCCTTCTGCATCCACACGTGAGCAGGTGGCTTTCCAGTGCCAGATCTGTGATCCAGAGTTTGGTCAACACATCTTTAAAAGAATAAAACCACATGCTCACACTGACTGGCCTGGAAGAGTTCCTAGTTATCTTGCCAGCTCCTCTGAAAGAAATAATTCTTAGTATTAGGACACAGAGTGACCTACTCTCAACTTCTGGAAGGTTGTTTGTGGTGTCCATTTTTCAGTGAGGGGTGGAAGAAACCCAACATTTTCAGTTAGGACAATGACAGTTTGTTTTAAACAACAACAACAAAAATAAGGAGGCACCTATTTGGAAATGAATGGGACAATGATAAAAATAAACAAATAATTAAAATTTCAAACCAAAACCTATCTGCTGGCCCCCAGTTCCCCAGTCAATCCTCCAAGACCACAATCTCCACATTGTGAACTTGATGCTGGTGTTCTTCCATCTCAGCCACAACTTTCTCCTCAGTCCTCAGCTCGGTCTCCAAGATGACTGCTTTGCCCTCAGTACCATCGGCCTCCGGGTCGGGGGCTGGGTCAATCTCAATGATGGTCTGCCCGTCCTCGGAAGTGCTTTCAACAGCCTGGATTGCTGAGGTCAGGCCAGACTCCATGGCCACCAGCTCCACGGGGCTCACCATGGTTGTCATGTTGCCCAGGGGGCTCCCATCCTGCATAGTGGTAGAGCTCAGCAGTGCCAAGCTAGAGGAAGGGTGGATGGTCACTGTGTCGGGTGAGTTACTCTTGGCGGAGGAAACCACGGTGGCATAACGGAAGAGCTGAGGGCCAGAAGGCAGCGTGTGGACAGTCACAGGACTGGAGCCCTGGCTGAGAGTGGCCACTGGAATATTGCCCATGGAAAATGACTGGCCCACTGGCGTGATGGTGATAGGTGAGAGGACCGTGAATTGAGGCTGCTGAACAGGAGGAGAGGGGCTGAGGACGGTGGTTGAGGCAGGCCGCTGCAGCCGGGGCCGCTTGGGGGGTTTAGGGGTGCTCACGGGCATCAAAACCACATTCTGAACTGACTGGGATTTCAGCCGATGATCCCGAGCTTGTTTCTTCTGCTCTTCCAACTGGCGTTCCAAGTCTAGGGGAAGAAGATAGACTCTTAAGGAGGGAATTAGAATCTTGGCAAGAATAAACTTGGAGTCAAGTCCTTAGAGTCTCATTCTGGTTTTATTTCTATATCCCAGACAACTCACTTTTGATTTTAAAATAAAGTACTAGTCTGGATGATTTAAAAATCTCTCCAAGAATCATTCTTTGCTCCATACCTATAGGCAGAGCAAAAGTTCAGAATCCTTTTTGTTCAATTTTTTAAATTTATTTTCATTGTATTTGAAAGAGAGGGAGGAGATATAGATAAAAAGAGATCCTCCATACTCTGCTTCCTCGCTCAAATGCCCACAAACAGGGCTGGACCAGTGTAAATTCAGGATCCCAGAACTCAATCTGGGTCACCCACTTGGGGGCAAGGGCCACTATCTGTTACCTCCCAGAATGCACATCAGCAGGAGCTGGATTAGGAAGTGGAGGAGCCAGACCGCAAACCAGGCACTAAAGATATAGAAGGCAGGTGTCCCAAGTGATGACTTAACTGCTGTCTCAAACGTATACTCCCAGAGTCAGTCTGAAGCTGTATTTCTACCATAATTGAATCTAACAGTTCCTCTCACCTCTGTCCCTCATCAACAAAACGTAATCCAAAGGTGGCTGTCTGGTCAAATGGTTAGTTAAGATACTGCTTGGGGAACCTACAGTCCACATCAGAGAGCTTGGGTTCACATCTCAGCTCTGTTTCTGGCCTCAGCTTCCCACTAATGTATACTCCTGAAAATAACAACAGGTGACCCTTCATGTACTGGCATCCTTGCCACATATGGGGGAGACTTGAACTGAGTTCCTCAGCCCAAGTCAGAGTCCCTGGGTTTGCATCCTGCCTCCACTTCCGATTCCATCTTCCAATTAATGTGCGCCCTTGGAAATACAGGTGGTCCTTGCCACCCATGCGGCAAACCCAGGTGGAATTCTCAGCTCCTTTCATCTGACTCAGTTGAGGCTGTTGTAGGCATTTGGGAATTATAGGAGATCCCTGTCTATATGCCTTTCAAGTAAATAAAACCATAATCAATCATAAAAAAAAATCAAACAAGTTTAAAATAATCCAAATCATCCTTTTCTTGTCAAATAAACTTTCCTCTTGGCTTCACAAGTAACTATAATTCATTTGACATTATTCAAAGACTGCTAATGCAAACTTCTGCCTCGTTTTACAGCTTATACCTGGCTTACTGCCCCGAGAAGTTTCGCCCTTTGCTCTTCCATCTACCCACTACACACCTGTCACAAAACTTAACTACTATGTGTACCTGTTTCTATACTAGCTTTCTCTTAATTTTCTTGAATACCTTGAAGAGACAGAGGGTATCTTAATCAATACTATATTTCTAACATCTATTCTGGAGACTAACATAAAATATTTACTAAAAAAGGAATTACATTTCCCATATGCTATGATTTCTGATTACCACAAATAATGGAGAAGGTACTAAATTTATATCTATCAAAAGAAGTAGGAATAAAATGTTAAAAAGATGCAGACATTCCACGAAGCAATTAGTAGACAATCCTCCTTTGTTTCCCATCATTCCTCCTCTCTTGGGGCTATCTGATTAAATAAAAAAAAACAACAAAATCGGATACCAGGTGAGTTTTTTTTTAAAAGGTCAATTCCAGTAAAAGTCAACAAGGAAATGACAAGATGCAAGAGTGTTCCCACACCTTACGTAAGAAGGTGAGTTACACACACCTGTCAGAGTGAAGAGAAACTGCTCCTCCCCTTGCTCGACTTGGTTCCTTCTGTTGTCCAAAACCTTCTTGACTGTGTCCATTAAGCCAAAGGTATGTGCTACATTGTTGAGAACAGCAGCATCTATGGAAAATAAAAGACACACATGTAGTATTAAAACTGTCTTTTGTGCTGTTAGTAAACATAAAATCATTCAGCGATTCTGGGACCCCAAGATTGCATCTTAATAAAATTTTCACAAAGATTTATCACATGCAGAACTTTGATTTGTTCTATATTTACTTTAGCACATACATACAAAACCAGGGGGAGGGACATTACAACTGGATATAGGTTCTGACTACTTTTTTTTTAAGATTTATTTATTTTTATTGGAAAGGCAGATTTCCAGTGAGAAGGAAAGACAGAAAGAAAGATCTTCCATCTCCTGGTTTACTCCCTAAATGGCCACAACAGCTAGAGCTGAGTTGACTGAAACCAGGAGCCAGGAACTTCTTCCAGGACTCCCACGTGGGTGTAGGGTCCCAAGGCCTTGGGCCATCCTCTGATGCTTTCTCAGGTCATAGGCGGAGAGCTGGAAGGGAAGTGCAGAAGCTGGGACATGAACCGGTGCCCACATGGGATCCCAGGGCTTGCAGGGGGAGAATTAGCCAATTGAGCCATCACAACAGGCCCTAGGCTCCAACTTTTGCGTATAAAATACAGTCACAGTTTAAAGTATTTGGCATGACAGTTAAAGGGTCACTTGGGAAACCTGCATCCTGGATTCAAATACTGGCTCTGCTTTCAATTTTAGCTTTCTGCAAATGCATGCTCTGGGAGTCAGCCTTCACTACGCAGGCACTGGAGGAATCAACCAGCAGATGAAAAATCTGTCTTTTCTCTTGCTTTTAAATAAATAAATTATAAAAAGAAACCACACCGCCATAATCTTTTTTTTTTCTTTAAGATTTACTTTATTTAAAGTCAGAGTTACAAAAAGGGAGAGAAAGAGAGAGATCTTCCATTTGCTAGTTCACTCCCCAAATGGTTGCAACAGCCAGAGCTGGGCCAGTCTAAATCCAGGAGCCAGGAGCCTCTTCTGGGTCTTTCACAAAGGTGTAGGAGCCCAAGGACTTAAGCCTTTCTCCATTGCACTCACAGCATGGGAGCTGGAGGGAAGTGGAGCAGCCTCGACATGAGCCAGGACCCATATGGGATGCTGGCACCCAAAGCAGAAGATTAGCTCATTAAGCCATCGTGCCAGCCCCTGTAATCTTATTTTATTTTTTTAAAGGTTTATTTACTTTTATTGCAAAGTCAGATATACAGAGAGGAAGAGAGACAGAGAAGATCTTTGTCCGTTGATTCACTCCCCAGGTGGACCGCAATGGCCAGTGCTGCATCAATCTGAAACCAGAAGCCAGGAACTTCCTCCAGGTCTCCCACACGGGTACAGGGTCCTAAGGCTTTGGGCCATCCTCCACTGCTTTCCCTGGCCACAAGCAGGGAGCTGGATGGAATGTGGGGCTGCCAGGATTAGAACTGCCATCCATATAGGATCCTGGCACGTTCAATATGATGACTTAAGCTGCTAGGCCACCGTGCTGGGCATCCCCACCCCAGGCTTATTTTAAAAAAGAAAGAAAATAAGTTTGAACTGGCTTTGCTATTTCCTGTCTATATAATATGGATAACTCATTTCAGTATCAAGTTTTCTCATCTGAAACTAATGTTACTGTATAGAATGAATATGAAGACTAGATATATCATCTTAAGCACCAAACCTGGGGACAGACATGCAGTATTGCATTGATTATACTAACAATATTATCTCCGCTCTGCCCTATACAAAATGCCTTCAAAGTTGTATTTGCGGTCATTACTTCCTTAACTAGGACCTGTTTACTTACACTCCCTTTCAATAATCATCCTACCCAGTTCTGTGGTTAAGCAGGTTTAGCTGCTCCTTGGCATGTCCACATTCCATACTGGAGTGTCTTGAATTTCGCTGCTTCCAATCCAGCTTCCTCCAAATGCACACCATGGGAGGTAGTAGACACGACTCAAGAGTCTGGATTCTTCCCACCCACATGGGAGGCCAGAGTGAACTCCTGCTTCCTGGCCTCAGCCTGGCCCAGCTCTGGTTATTGCAGGTATTTGGAGATGGGCCAGCAGATGGAAGATCCTTCTCAGTCTTTCCTTCCTTCCTTCCCCTCGCTCTCTTTCTCTACTTCTTTCTTACCTTTCTGCCTCTTGCTTTGCCTTTCAAATAAATACAAATAAACATGAAGGGAACAGCACTGTGGTAAGAGTCCCTACATCCATGGAGGAGACCCAGAAGAAGCTCCAGGCTCCTGGCTTTGGGATGGCTCAGTTCCAGCTACTGTAACCATCTGGGGAATGAACCTACAGATGGAAGATCTCTCTGTCTCATTTTCTCTCTCTTTCACATAAATGATTATTTTTTTTTATTAAATATTTTATTTATTTTTATTACAAAGTCAGATATACAGAAAGGAGGAGAGACAGAGAGGAAGATCTTCTGTCTGATGATTCACTCCTCAAGTGAACGCAATGGCTGGTGCTGCACCGATCCAAAGCTGAGAACCAGGAGCTCTTCCGGGCTCCCCTGTGGGTGCAGGGTCCCAAGGCTTTGGGCCATCCTTGACTGCTTTCCCAGGCCACAAGCAGGGAGCCAGATGGGAAGCAGGGCCATCGGGAATGGAACCGGCGCCCACATGGAATCCCAGCGCATTCAAGGCGAGGACTTTAGCCGCTAGACCACGGTGCCAAGCCAAAATGATTATTTAAAAAAAAATTGAAAATAAGGGTCCGTTACAATAGCTTAGTGGCTAAATCCTTGCCTTGTATCAGGGCCCTCTAATATCTCTCACAACAAATAGATATCCCTAATACATATTTAAAGATTTCAAAAAGATTTATTTTTATTGGAAAGGCAGATTTACTGAGAAATAGAAAAAGAAAGATCTTCCATCTGTTGGTTTACTCCCTAAGTGGCTACAATGACTGAAACTGAGCCGATCTGAAGCCAGGAGCTTCTTCCAGGTCTCCCACATGGGCGCAGGGTCTCAAGGCTTTGGGCTATAAGCAAGGAGCTGGATAGGAAGTGGAGCAGCCAGGACACGAACCGTTGCTTCTACAGGATTGTGGCATTTCCAAGATGAAGATTTAGTCACTGAGCCATCGCAATGGGTCCTAAAGATTTTTTAACTTAACTTATTATTCATTCCCCAAATGCCTCCAACAGCAAGGGCTAGGGCAGGCACAAGACAGCAGCCTATAACTTCATCCTGGTTCCCCAGTATAGACAGTAGAGCCATCACCTGTTGTCTCCAAGTGCGCATGGGCAAGAAGATGGGCTACAAACTGCATCTGGGAATCTAACCCAAAGACACCTATGGGATGAGGATGCGCTAGTCAGGGTCTTAATTGAGGTGGCATGTGTCCACCCCAGACACACATAATACTTGGCTTTACCTCTGACCATTCAGCAGTTATGGTACTTAAACAAATGCCCCTCATAAGTATTGATCAGACATTTAACACAACTGCCTGGGATGCCCTCATTTTGCATCCAAGTGCCTGGGCTCAAGTCTCGGCCTTGCTTCCAACTCCAGCGTTGTGCTAATGTGTACCTGGGGAGGGAGCAGGAACAGCTAAAGTACTTGCTGTGGTTCCTGCCATTCGTGTAGGAGACCTGCCTGGCTGGACTCCTAATTTGTCCGGCACAGATCTGGATGTTGCCACCATCTTGAGAGAGTGAACAAGTGGTTGGAAGATTTCTCTCTTTTTCTTTCTCTCTCTCTTCGTCACTCTTTAAATAATAAATCTTTCTAAAAATGACAGATTCTTTCTAAAGTCATTTATAAAGGCAAAAGTTACCTGTGGAAAAAGTATGGCCTACTTGGGTTCAATATCAAGTTATGAACCTTGGACACGTGACTTAAGGTTAATGAGCCTTAACTTCCTTATTTGTAAAACGGAGGTAGTAACACCTGCACCTCAGGGCTGCTGCAGGGTGACAAGACCTACCTGCACTCAATGAATGAGCACTGTTTCAAGATCTGTCACCCACCTGTGACCTGGAAGGGTGTCTGGACGAGCCGCTGCTGGACTCCCCTGAGAAGCTCCTCGATTTCCTTCTGGATGTTGCAGACAACCTCCTCCATCAGCCCCACGTCAGCTATTCCTTTCCAGAACATCAACGTGTCCTCTGGCATAGGAGGAACAAGACAAGGTAAATAAGGAATGCCCCCCAGATGTTCAGGCACACCTCTACAATGTGAAACTCAAACTCAGTTCGGTTCCAAAGGCTTTCTTGCTGGCCATTTCTGGGGAAGGAGTTTATGTAACACTAATTGCCTCCCTGCGTGGATACCTAATTGCCTCAATTTGTTTCTAGTTACAAAGAACAGGCATCTTCTTCCAATAAAGAGATCAAATTAAATTTTAAATAAACATTAAATATTTACTATTATTTAATTAAACTCAAATATAATTTAAGATTAGTTAATATTCAAAATTATACAAGTTAAAGAACATAGAAATTAAGTCAAATATCAAGAGACATATTCCTCCTCATGTTACACTTGAGAAAATAAAACAGTTGGATAGGTGCGGCTATACGCATGCTAAAGACGGTGACTATATTTTTATCTGTGTACCTAGTAACTAATACCTAGCAACAGTATCAACCAAAAATAGGTAGTAATACTTACTAAACTAATAAGTTTAAATAAGTTTTAATATGAATTAATAAATGAAAGCTAATAATGAAGGTTCATCTGAGAGGGATGATTCCCTCGAAGAGAATCATCATGCATCACCACCCTTTCACACTGTACGCTACGAATTTTCCCAACATTTCAAAGCCTGGTGTAGCTAAGAAAAGTTAGAGGCAACTTGAATAAAAAAGCATGAATGATGCAACCAAACAGTGGAGCTGGTTGTGTGACTAGTCTTAGGTAAGTTGTAGAACCTTCCTTAATCCTAATTTCTTTATGTGTAAAATGTGATTCTGCATGGCTGCTGCAAGGATCACAACAAGAGGTCTGTGGCCATAGTAAGCATTCACTGACATGGGGAAAACGATGAAAACAATCAAGAGGTCTTTTGTGGCCACAGTCATGGCAGTAAGAGTCACAAAACTTGCAAGTATCTAAGCCCTATAGAAAAGTACCTGAAATTTCCTCTGAGTCTTTCTTTACACCCTCCTCTGTGGCCATGGTAACAGCAGCGGTGAGGGCCGAGTTCCACTCCAGCCCTGCTTCTTCCATGCTCTCCTCTGAGATGGCAATCTGTGTGATGCTACCTAGAAGCAGTCCGTTAGAGGTGAGGTCAGGGAATTCCATTTAAAGTCACAGCTCTTTTACTCTCACACTCACAGCAATAAAACTTGACTGCTAGGTAAGGATTTTCTGAAGAAATCCTGCCTTTGGGGTGGAAGTGGGGAATGAGTTCTTACTCTGAATAGAAAGGGAAAGATAACATCACCAAGACAGGCATGCTACTTCACTTCAACAGTGAAGGCAGGTACAAGTGCCAGGCTGCCTGCCGAGACACTGAGAGTGAGGAAGATTGAAAATAATTTAGGAAAAATCTATGGTGTTTTACCAAGAGCTCTACTAGAAATGTATCTAAGACTAAGCATCTAGAACACTGAAGTTGTATTTTATCAGCATATGAAGAGAAAGCTGAGGAAATATCAAGTAAGAAACTCAACAGATTTATAAGGGCAGAAAAAACACCCTTTGCTATCAATTGGCTACCAAGATCTAAAACAAATAGAAGTAAGGAAAACCTGACAGTGATGTAGACAGCAACCCAAACAAGTGTGGTACCCTCCACTCTCCAGGAAACCAACAAACACACAAAGCAGTAGCAGAATGGATAATCAAGTACAGAAAGTAAATAATTTCACATTTTTCACTTTTCAAGTGAAAGAGTGCCTCAAAATTGAATCTGCTAAGTGTCTGTCCACAACATTCCTGAGAGGGACTTGGGCTCCAAGAGACTCAGCTTTACTTACCCAGTGGTTACTCACCAAGTATTAGGGTTAACCAACAGAAAACTTAAGAGGTCACTTCCAAAGCACTTGTTCCCTACCCTTTCAGATTCTGACACTTTCTGTCAGACATATTCTTAACTCTTATGGCAACAATGAAAACACATTTTACCCAAATGAGCTAAGTTTCCAACTAGACTAACTGAAGCCTTCATAATTATCTCCTACAGGGATCCACTTATCCTGTATGGTAGGGAGCCATGTCCCAAGCTCCTGACCATACTGCCCATCCTATCTCCTCTGTGAGCAGACCTCAGCTTAGTAATCTGGAGTCGGTCCAGGCAGAGCATTCCAATCCTTCTAGCAAGGTCTCCACAGTGTAACCCAGCCAATGATGCACTGTCTTTGAGAAACCTCAGAGCAACGACTGAAGTTATCATTGTTATCTACCTTGACCGCTAATAGAGCCAAGGATTTTGCAAGCAATCTACTAAGTTCAATTTTGATATGTCAAGTGGTACATAAGTGAGACTACTGAGTAAGCATTATAACCACTGAACAATCTTTCCAATGCTTCCCAAGGCACTGGAAGGGAGGAAGAAGGAAAGAGATCTGTGGTCAGTGTCATCTGGGAGAAAATGAAGAGCTCCGTTTCCAGAACAGGCATGGGATCCCACCCGAGATTACTTACAAGGCCCACCAACGCTCCCAAGATTTGAGATTAAGAAACACAAAGGAGAAACGAAGGGAGAAAGTGCAGCTGAGAATCACAGTGGGTTTTCAGGTGGTTTCCTACCCCCTACCATCAGCCGAGGTGGGTGTCTGCACCACACTTGTCTGCTGTCCTGGCACTGGAGCTCTTGCACTGCTGATCAGAAGATCAAACTTGGTGCTTCTGCAGGTATTGGAGCAAACTTTGTCATGCTGGTAAAAATCAATCTGTCCAGAGTCCATCATTTTCCTGTGCACAGGGAGACAAGAAGTACCAATTCAGCCTGTACCTCAGCAAGAGGGACAAATAGGGACAAAATACTGCTGAGTCCACTCTGACGATTAGTGAAACTTGGTAATACTAGAAGAAGTCATTAAGTTGTAAAACCTCTGACTGGGACTATGAACTTTTCATTGGTCCTGTCCACATGTACCAGTGCTCTGGTTCCGTCTTAAACTCACACCTTACGAGTACTCCTTTGTACTGTCCGTAACCACTGAATCTTAGGCACACACTCCTGATCACAGCCGAGTTTCCCCACAGAAACCAAATGCAACTGAGCTCATATCTCAGCACAACTGAGAAACATCATAGGGAAATCAGAATTTTGTGATGAGACTCTGGTGTATCGGTTTTCATGACCAATGTGACATGATATCATGCTTAGATAAAGATTCAGCAGATGTCTTTCCATTAACAACAATAACAAAAAAGAGATAGCAGCTGTCTTAGAAACAAAGAGTAGAGTCGATTATGCTAACCCCACTGGCTCCCCTCTGGACAATGTTCTTGTACCAGGATGCAAAGGACATTTACTATACCCTTGAGCAAACCCATTCAGTATTTTTTTAAAGATTTATTTTTATTATTTTTTTATTGGAAAGTCAGATATACAGAGAGGAGAGACAGAGAGGAAGATCTTCCGTCCAGTGATTCACTCCCCAAGTGAGCTGCAACGGCCGATGCTATGCCGATCCGAAGCCAGGAGCCTCTTCTGGGTCTCCCACGCGGGTGCAGGGTCCCAAAGCTTTGGACCATCCTCGACTGCTTTCCCAGGCCACAAGCAGGGAGCTGGAAGGGAAGCGGGGCTGCCGGGATAGAACCGGCGCCCATATGGGATCCCAGGCGTGCAAGGCGAGGACCTTAACCACTGCGCCACCGCGCCGGGCCCATCCCATTCGGTATTTTAATTACAATAAACTTCCTGTTATAACATCACTTGACTGTTATTAAAGATGCTTTATGCATTCAGATTCCTAACTCCATGTGGGAAAAAGTGGCATATGCTAGTCTTTGTAGGCAGCCAAAACAGATTAAGGGCACTAAAAATTAAAGTATCCCTTCCCAATTTCTTTCAACTGATTTCTGCATACAAATTATCTGAAATACATATTTTTCTTAAAGATTTTTTTCACAACTTGAAACAAAGAGAAAGAGATCCTGCATCTCCTGGTTCACTCCCCAAGTGGCCACAATGGTCAAAGCTGAGCCAATCTGAAGCCAGGAACAGCTCTAGATCCTCCATGTGGGTGCAGAGTCCCAAGGACTCTACTGCCTTCCCAGACCACAAGAAGGGAGCTGAAGTGGAACAGCTATGACTCAAACCAGTGCCCATAAGGGATGCCAGTGCTACAGGTGGAGACTCAGCCTTTAATACTACAGTGCTAGCCCCCGAAATGAACATTTTAAAAAATAGTATTTGGGGGCCCAATGCGGTAGCACAGCAGCTAAATTACTCACCTTGCAAGCCCTGGGATCCCTTATGGCCATCGATTCTAATGCTGGCAGCCCCGCTTCCCATCCAGCTCCCTGCTTGTGGCCTGGAAAGCAGTTGAGCATGGCCCAAATCCTTGAGACCCTGTACCTGTGTGGCAGAACCAGAGGAGACTCCAGGCTCCTGGCTTCGGATCGATGCAGCCCCAGCCGTTGCGGCCACTTGGGGAGTGAATCATCGGACGGAAGATCTTCCTCTCTGTCTCTCACCCTCTCTGTATACTTAACTTCCCAATATAAAAAATAAAGGGGGCCCGGCGCGATGGTGCAGTGGTTAAGGTCCTCGCCTTGAACACACGGGATCCCATATGGGCGCCGGTTCTAATCCCAGCAGCTCCACTTCCCATCCAGCTCCCTGCTTGTGGCCTGGAAAAGCAGTTGAGGATGGCCCAAAGCCTTGGGACCCTACACCCGTGTGGGATACCTGGAAGAAGTTCCTGGTTCCCGGCTTCAGATTGGCGCAGCACTGGCCATTCTGGTCACTTGGGGAGTGAATCATTGGACGGAAGATCTTCCTCTCTGTCTCTCCTCCTGTCTGTATATCTGACTTTCCAATAAATAAATAAATCTTTTTAAAAAATAAATAAATATTTAAAATAATAATAATAATATAATAGACTCAGGGCCAGTGCTGACTACTCCAGTGTTGATTCAGGTCCTTGTTCATGTGTCTGGTAATGCAGTGGAAGATGGCCTAAGTCCTTGAATGCCACACTCATGCGGGAGACCCAGAAGAAGCTCCTGGTTCCTCGCTTTGGATTAAACAGCTCCAGTCATTGTGGCCATTTAGGGAGTGAACCAGCAGATGGAAGAGTTCTGTCTGCTTCTCTCTCTCTCACTCTGACTTTCAAGTAAATAAATAAATCTTAAAAAAAAAAAAAAAAAAAAAACAGGCCCGGCGCGGTGGCGCAGTGGTTAAGGTCCTTGCCTTGCACGCCCGGGATCCCATATGGGTGCCGGTTCTATCCCGGTGGCCCCGCTTCCCTTCCAGCTCCCTGCCTGTGGCCCGGGAAAGCAGTCGAGAACAGCCCAAAGCTTTGGGACCCTGCACCCGCGTGGGAGACCCAGAAGAGGCTCCTGGCTTTGGACCGGCATAGCACTGGCCGTTGCACTCACTTGGGGAGTGAATCAACGGACGGAAGATCTTCCTCTCTGTCTCTCCTCTCTGTATATCCGCCTTTCCAATAAAAAAAATAATAATAAAAATAAATCTTTAAAAAAAAAAAACAAAAAAAACCCAGGCAGAGTTTCTGGTAAGGCGGTTTGGACGCCACTTGGGATGATCCCGTCCACATCTGAGTGCCTGGCTTTGAGAGCCAGCTCCACACCCAGTTTTCATCCTGATAATGCAGCAGGCAATGGCTCTCATAGCTGCGTATGGGAGATCTGGACTGAGCTCCTTGATCCCGGTTCTGACCTGGCCCAGCCTTGGCTTGCTATAAAAATTTGCAAGTGAACAAGCAGAAGTGAGATTTCTCTTTTGAACAAATAAAATCAATGAATAATTTTTTTAAAGACCTCAAAAAGTAGTCTGGCACTGTGGTATAGTAGGTAAAGCTGCTGCTTGCAATGCCAGCATTCCATATGGATGCCAGTTCAAGTCCCAGCTGCTCCCCTTCTGAGCTAGCTCCCTGTGAATAGCCTGGAAAAAGAAAGGGAAGATGACAGAAACAGTTGGGCCCCTAAAACACTCATGACAGACCCAGGAGAAACCCAGAAGAAACTTGTAGCTCCTGGCTTCAGTCTGGCCCAACACTGCCTGTTGTAGCCATTGCACAGTGAATCAATGGATGGGAACTCTTCCTCTCTGACTCTCCTTTTGTGAATCTGTCGTTCCAATAAAAAGAAATAAAAGATTTATATAAAAAAACATGTAAAATACAGATGACAACATTTTAGCGTATTTCCATCCACAAATTTCACTTACATATATGTGAACACATTAATAAAACTGGTATCACTCTGGCTAATCAATTTGACATATCTTTCATGTATTATCTTTCCAGATAAAAAATTCTTCAGATTAAAAATTAAACCATAGCATATAATCACACATATTTAGATAAATCATAATTTACTTTAGAAGTTCCTGGATCAATTAATGGAATGGACTTATTTCAGCAAAGCACACTGCAGTTTTTGCCCATAGTGAATAATGTTGCAATGAACAGAGATTCATGTTTGAACTTCTGTTGAGCATACAGATTCTCCAAGTAGATTTTCCTTTAAAAATTTTTTTTTTTTGGTAAAACAAAAGACACCTTTGAGAGGGCAGGCATTTATCCTGCTAGTTAAGAACCCTGCATCTCAGAGAACACACCTGGCCTAGTGGTTAGGATGCCAGTCGGGACACTGCAACACGTATCAGAGAGCCTGTGGTTCCAGGTGCATGGCCACTGCTCATGCAGATTCCTAGTGGTGCACACCCTGGATGGCAGCATGCGATGGCTCAAGCCTATGGGTTCTTGCCAACCATGAGGAAAACCCGAGTTCAGTTCTGGGATCCTGAATCGAACTGGCCCAGTCCTGGTTACTATGTACATGTGGTGAGTGAACCAATGAATGGAAGATCTTTCCCTCTCTCTAGCCATTTCTATCTCTCCTTCCATGTCTCTGCTCATAATCTAAATCAACTAATTAAAAAAAATACTTAGTTATTGTTATTGGAAAGGCAGATATACAGACAGGAGGAGAGACAGAGAGGAAGATCTTTAATTCAATTAATCACTCCCCAAGTGGTCACAACAGTCAGAGCTAAGCCAATCTGAAGCCAAGAGTCAGGAGCCTCCTCCAGGCCTCCCACCTGGATGCAGGATTCCAAGGCTTTGGGCTGTCCTTGACTGCTTTCCCAGGACACAAGTAGGAAGCTGGATGGGAGGTGGAGCAGTCAAGACCAGAACTGATGCCCATATGGGATCCTGGCATGTGCTAGGTGAGGACTTTAACCACTAGGCTACAATGCCAGGCCTCCAAATAAATCTTTAAAACAAAAGACAATACATCCCATAGCAGAGTACCTAGCTTTGACTCCTGGCTCCTCTCCCCAGCTTCCTGCTAATGCAGACCTTAGGGGCAGCAAACAGTGGCTTACATAATTGCATCTCCTAACATGGGAGACCTGGATTGAGTTTCTGGCTCTAGGCACAGGATTTTGGCATACTAGTTAAGATACCCCTGGGAGTACTTGCCAGCATACGTGTGAGTCAGGTCTGAGTGCAGGACAGGCTGGGCCAGTTCATAACACCTACTGGTAGATCTGAGAACCAGGATGGGGTGCAGGCCAGGCCAGGTTGGCCACAAAACCAGCCAGTTCACATGGGGTTCAGGCTGGGCTGGGTTAGGCTACAGCACCCACCAGCATGAGCTGGGACTAGGGGCAGATCAAGCCTGGCCAGGTTACTAAGTACCTGCCACCGGCAAATGCCGAGGTGAGACTGGGCTGCAACACTCATCCGCACACGAGACATGGGCAGGTG